GAAAAGCTTTCTGCTGTCATGTATAACTGATTAGAACTAATAAAAAAAATTTAAAAAAAGAAACAAAATGGTTCTCATATTACTGTCATAATTACTGCTATATTTTCACTTTTATTTACTGAATACATTTCAATTAATTTTTCCTTTTTAAAATTAAATTTAGTTTTAAAGGAAATACAGTATTATCACATAGACTGGACACCAAAATCATTTGCCATAAATACACAGTAAGTGGAAAAATACATTCAATAAAACAAAGTGATCTCAAGTTAGGTACTGCTATCTACTGATATGCCTGAGTATGAGATCCTAGCTGCTTCTCCTAACAGAGTAAATCAGCAAACATTACTAATATATGCAAATTAGCATCATCAGCTTTAAACAGAAAGATTGATGAGATGACTAAAAGAGAACTCAGCAAATTTCTCACTGGGCTTTTCCAGTGACATCTAACATTGGGCTAGGTTTTTCGTCTAAAATAATTTCCTAGGACCAATAATTATTTTGAACTTCATTACAATACAAATCCCAACATATTTTGCAAAATATTGCAAAATGATTTGGAAACTTCCTGAAGGATCTCTTTTACGTCTATTTTACTCACAGAATCTCAAAAGGAATCTTGTTTCTCTCAAGACATACTCCAATATGCCTATTAACTAGTAGCAGGCAATATTAAGCTGGCAGACATGAACTTATTATCTTAAAAAATTGTCTTCAGAAGGCAAATATTGGGTAGATGAATTAGTACTGATCTAGGAAACATAATCAAATTCAACTATATACTATCTTCTTTGACCTTAAATACATCAGTAAAGCACTCAGATATGTTTTTAATCCACAGAAAGATGGTGGCAGATGCTTCCTCCCCATGGGGTGGGTGGAAGGATAAAATGAGAGACACTGGCATAACACTCAGTACATGACAGTCGGATCAAAAGTTACAGGTAACTTTTAGTTTATTACAACTGATAAAACATCCAGGTGTTTTTATCTTGATAAAAAGAATTAAAAATTGTTTCCTTTTACTAATCCAGGAGAACTATTATTCATTTTTCAATAAACCTTGGAAACTAAAACTAAACCAGTGGTTGTGCTTATGAAGATCTGAACCCCATAAAAAGTTTAAAAACCTGGGTGACTGGTTAATTAGTTGGTCCAAAACAAAGTCCCTAAACTGCAGAACAAAAATTATCAAGGCAAATATTATTGGTAAATAAATTATTTCTCACATGAATAATATCTGAATATACTTTATAATGGCTTGAAATAAATTTAGTGATCCTTTCTTCATGCACGGCTGAAGTATTTACTAAATAAATAAATAAATAAGATGTCTAAGATTACAGTGCCATCTAGAGGCAAAGAAAATAAAGAGCAAATTTCATTCCTTTCATTTTTTCAAATAGCTACTCATCATTACAAGAAAACTAGGATTTTAGTAATTTATATAACTCATTTTCTAATTACATTTATAGGATATAACTTATGTCATGAAATAAAGTTAAAACATTTTTTCTAATGAAAAAATTTTACTACCTGAAAACTATTATTTAATTCTCAATAAACACTGAAAGTGTGAAGGCAATTTTAAAAATGATAATATAATATCCAATTTTTTGTTTTGAGATTTATTTATTGACAAATTATAGAATGCCAACAACAGTAACTTTTTAGTATTTAAGAAAAATCAAACACTCCATAATATTAATAGAACATTTTCTAATATTTTTTCTCTTCGAAAATTGCACCTGAAGACATTTATTTAATAATAAGTGCCAGGCACTTCTTAAAGCTACTTTACATATTAGTATATTAGTTGACTTTCAGGAAATCCTCACAAAAATCCTATGTAGTAAGTAATGTCTATATTAACATACCTATTGTGAATATTGAAACTGAAGTACAGAAACTTAAATAACTTTCCCAATGCTATAATTAGCAGACGCAGGGTTCAAACTAGGAGAGTTTGTTTCCAATATTTGTGCTCTCAATCGGCATGCCAACACCTCTCATTTGTAATACTTGAATTCAGCACCTTACTGTATTTGTAATACCTGTGTTCTGCTCTTATGGAGCAATATTATCTAATGTTACTAAGTCCTTCATCACCATTTTTAGTAACTACATGTTTGTCATCAATTTGGTATATCTCATTTTACTTACAGTAGTTATTTAATGCTAGTCCTTGAAATTATTTTTAATTTATTTTAATATATATAAAAATACTGACTCAAGCAAATTTTTTGCAAGGCACACAGTATTTTTTTCATTCTTTTAAATTTTATTTTCTTATGCTAACACTTCCTAAGTAGTTAGACTGACTTACGTAGATAAAAGTGCCATGTTATTGATATATAATATTCCATACTGCTTTTTAGATTTCATCATGATATGATGCAATGAAAGGATGCTCAGATACTTCTCTTTCCAATTAATACATATCAGTCATCCCCTGGCCTCCCCCCAAAAAATGTGTGTGGGGTGGCGGGGTGCTGGGGATTGAACCCAGGGCCTTATGCATTTCAGGCAAGCACTCTACCAACTGAGCTATATCCCTAGTGCCCTACATATACACAACTTAACTGATATAATGAATGTTTCATCATATGGAACAGTGAAACCAACAAACATTAAGTTTTTCCAATGGGCAGAATGTTTTCTTCTCGTAGCAACAGAAAAAGTAGAAATAATCCTCTTACTTATCACTTATGAAGATGAAATTGTCTTGATTCTCCAAAAGATTCCATAACATATGCAAAGTCACTGGTAAATTATCAGAGCTGTATCTGAGCACAAATCTGACCCTAAAGTGTGTTTCAAATAATAACCCAAAAGTTAGGGGTCAATATACACTAATATATGAAAATTATATGAAAATATTTATTTAAGCCTTATCAAATATTATCTCATAAAGGACTAGTTATCATAAAGATGGATAATTTCTTTATATATAGTTATGAGCAATAATTTCAAAAGAGGAATGAATGACATTATTAATTAGCAAATGCTTCATCTATGTTTCTCTCCAACCACAAATGATTTCATTACAACTTAGTTTCATCTCTATTCTAAGGAAGAAGGTAGAGGATATGAATTCTATTTCACAATTTTTTTAAGTGTTAGCTTACAGTGATATACATTCCTAATTGTTTTTAAAAAATTGTAACTTTTATAACATAGAAAAGTTCACTGAAGCACCCTAAAATAGAAAGAACATAGGCTTTCACATACATCTTAATTCAGACTCTGACACTTATTTGCTATATGTCTCCTGGAACTTTAAAGCATCAGATTCCAGCTTCTCAGGATGCTGTGAAATTTAAAGGTGGCATCAATASATACTCCAAAAATTTTAGCTCCCTTTCCTTCAGAGTGACCTATATGTGTTAAGGACATCAGTTTTTAAACATTATGTTTTATTGTTTCCCTCAAATTGTGGCATAACATGAAGCCTGAAGATCAAAAGAGATCAAGTTGACTCATTGATGTGAGAAGCTTTCATTTTAGCATCATAATCTCCCATCCATTGGTATGAGAGGTGATGGGCATGTTTCAAAATCCGACTATAGCATTCTGGTATCTTCCTTTTCAGAGTAGATACGTTAAACCTACATGTTTGTAGTCCATGTCTGCTAAGTATTTCAAGGTACCACTGTTCAAATTGATTCTTTGGATATAGAATATTGTATCCAAGTATTGGAAGAACCCATGAAATGGGGAAAAGAGAACCAGGCCTGGATATAACCCTACTCTGTCATGCGAAAGTGATACAATGGCTCTAACCCATGTTCTCTTTGAATTCAGGCATCAGTCAAAGTGTGCCTTTAGCATCCTCAGTTTGAAGAAAATATTTCTTTGCTTTATTCATAAGATTATCCATGTCTTCTTGTGTAAGAAATAATTTTATGGTCTTCAGCATTTCATTCTTCAGCAGAGCCAATCCAATTTGGTCTGTATGAACATTCCTTCCCTTTCCACATCTCTGTGGTCCATAGTAAGTCACAAAATTTTGATTATTAACATTTTCTATTGCCTTCAAAATTCTCTTTTTCAGATTTCCAGAATCATTTATGTGATTTTGTAAATTTCTGATGACAATATCAAAGTGATTCCCTTTGAGCTGTCCAAGTCTAAGGGACATTCATTCTTTTCAATTTTTTTTCCAATATTTTTCAACCTCCCTGAAGTCAGTTTTCTACAACCATTGCTCAACAGGTGACAGTTTTCTTGTCTTTAAGGCCTGCATAACTAAAATCCGAAGGAATCACTCCAAGTTTAATAGCTGAAAAATCTACCACTTCAAACATCTCCAGATTTTCCTTTCATAGGGTAAAAGCTGTATGTATAACTTTTTTTTTCCTGTTTTTATTCAAGAAGAGACCTTTTCCTGTACCATGTGTGTTTTGTTTTTGTTTGTTTGTTTGTTTTTGTTTTTCAAAAAACATCTCACTACATTTAGATCACCAGCACTGTAATTCTGTTCAGGAAAAGATTTGGTTTCTACAAGCTTTCCAAACTTCTGTTGACAAAATGATAGCTTTTCTGTGGTCTTTGTATCAGGCTTACAGGTAATTTTGGAATTTTCTTTCTTTGCATCCAAATATTTTAAAAAGTCAAGTGATTCTTCTTCGGATATCAAAGATTTATACTCAAGATTTGGTTTATAACAATTTCATTGTTTTCTCCTACACGGAGAAGAGCGGTATAACTGAATCATAACGGTAGTCCTACTCTTAGTTTCTGAGGACCCTCCCTACCATTCCCATCACCAACAACCTATAAGGGGAACAGACACACTCCATCCAGGGGAATCCCTCCTTTGTGTCAGGGAGGAGGCTCACGATACACTTACAGGACTTTCCTCCCCTAAAAACCCAGCCTGCCATTCTGCCTCTGCTTTCTGAAGCAGGAAAGCCCAGAGTTCTAGGTTCTCTGCCCTGGCCCAGCCCCAGTTGTGTTTTCCCAGCCAATGCCCCTTGCAGTCAGCCTTGCTGACAGTCAGCCTTTTGTCGTCGGGCTCAGAGCACTTTCGGTTTCAGAATCTTGTAAAGAGCATGAAGTGCTCAACTCCAGCCCCAACTCCTGGCGTCTGGCGTGGTGTTCCAGTGCGGACCGGTGAGTGACAGAAAGGCAAGGGGCGCTAGAGACCCATCCCTGGGCAAGGAGAAGATCCTAGCCTGCCCTTCACCCAGGTCATCCGGGGCGCCTTCTCTGGAGCTGCAGATTGGAAGTCAGAAACTCCCGCAGGAAAAGCAGAGGGATAAATGGTCTCTCCTCCTGCTGAGGCCCCAACTGAACCTGAGACACACACAGCTGCAGGCGCCTGGTCCTGCCTTTGGAAGTCTGCACCAGGCTAGCAGCACTGAGACCTGAGGCAGCTGCGGTGCTGAGGCTGGTAGTGAGGACAGGGGACCAGGAGAGACAAGTTTTGGAAACCTGAGGCCACCCCTGGAAGGTGGGATCTGAGGACAGGGGATTGAGCAGAGTAAACAAGAGAACCCCAGAAGGCAGTACCATCTCTGGGTTTACAGAAATAGCTTATTGGGCAATCACAGCTGTCACCTTGCTTAGTGCTGGTCTCAGAGAAAGGCAGCATGATGTCAATAAGACAAAGTCACTGCACAGACTCCTGCCTTCTCTGCTTGCCTCTTGCCTGACCCTGCAGGCCCTGGCCCTCACCCTGGTGAGTGTCCATGCCCCAGCACAGCTCCCACCTACTRGCCCTATTTTCTCACCTCTCCTCTCTCCTCAGGGAGTCACAGCCTGACTTCTGCCTTWCCTCTTCTCTGTGCTTTTTTTTTTTTCCTCAAATTATTGGGAAATCAATTTATTGTCATCTTGATTTGGAGATGTGTAGTTTTCATTTTTAGAAAATTACAAAAATAAGTGAAACAGCAATTCCTTTTCCAGATTCATATAATACTTTTTTTTTTTGCATTTCATATACTAAAATATCTGTTTCTCTGTGCTTTTAAAATCCCCAGTCTCCAGTTCAAAATCCTAGCACCCTTTATTTATCTGAGATTTTCCCCCTAATTGATGGAGCTCTTGCTGTTTCCTGAGCATCCAGGTGCTTAGACTCAGGATGCCAGGCACCTTTCCTRCAGAGAGCAGCCAGTCTTGGGGGTCCAACAATGGATGAGGCAAGGAACTACCATAAGGAGAGATGAGTCAGAGTCAGGGAGGAGGGAGATCTAGAATAGACATCAGAGGTCTCCTGGTGCTGAGCCTAGGAAGGAAAGGTGAGTGATTTGAGCCTGGTGACAGAGATGGGATAGGGAGCCTTTTAAGTTGGTTATCAATGTTTGCCAAGGCTCAGAGGTGATGGGGGGATAAGGGAAGGTAGAGGCTGGAGCAGGGGATGGGGCCAGGCAGATGGGAAGCCATTTAGAAAAGGCATTTTTGAGCTTATCCCTAGGGCCACTGGAGTTTTAAAGGAGAGCTCATAGGATCAAGAAAGTACTTCTCTCTCAGGATGCTGTGTGTCCATCTGGGGTCCTGACATTCTGAGCCCATGTCCTGAGGCTCCCCAGGCCACTTGAATTGCATTTTAGTGAACAGGGGCTATTGCAATGGAGAGCTCAGGGGCAGGGAGGTCAGAGGCTCTGGAGAGGAGCCAGGTGGTCTGGACTAGGCACAGGGTCACAGGGGCTGGAGATGTGTAAAGGGGTAGAAAGATTTGGGAGGGGTCTGAAGGCAGGCCTGGACAATAGGTTTGGGGGGACCTTGGAGAAATGKGAAGGAGTCAGGGAGGTTTCCCAAGGCTTAAGTCCATCCCCTGGTGAGGGAGGGTCTCACTGCWTAGAGCTGCCCACTGGTGTTTTCACTCCACCTCCTCTGGCTTCACACCTACCACCTCCCTGCTCTTGCTTTGACTTGTCACCTGCTGACAGGTCATGCATGCTTTTCTGCTCTTCCATGCCTTGCCAGTGTGTTGCTCTACAGGGACCAGCTCCTTCCTCACGTGCATAATCTACTCCCATGTCTGTTGCTGGCACTAATAATCAAAGTTTCTGAATTCATAAGATAAATGAAAGCCAAGCAGAGACCACACACAGTGTCCTCAGCCCCATTTCATTGTGTTTCTCTGTCTTCTTTGCCCCCAGACCCTGCATCATGGATTCTCTTTCAAAAGCAAATGGCACCTTTGCCATCCAGGTTTTGAAGATGCTGTGTCAAGACAGACCTTCACAAAATGTGTTTTTTTCTCCCCTGAGCATCTCCTCTGCCCTGGCCATGGTCCTCCTGGGGGCAAAGGGCAACACCAAGGTCCAGATGGCTCAGGTAAGCTTTCCTGTCACTCTGGAAGAGGTACTGGTCTGCAAGGCTTGTCTCTTATCTCCTCCTTGAGCTTTTCCAGAACTGGTGAGGAAGGAGGGGTGAGCCTGGACCATTTCAGGGAGGGGGTGCAGAGGAAGGAGGGGAGAGAGACAAGAAGTCTCCTCCAGTGACATTTTTATTTTTGTCGGCAGGCATGAATAATTTCCCCAATTAATAATCTGGAGAATTTCTCAGAACTTTGCCTGGCAGTTTGTTTAGAAAATGAAGCTCAGAGCTGGGGGAGTAGCTCTGTGGTAAAGCATGCGCCTGGCATGCACTTAATCACATGCACAGACCATGAAAGCAGGAGTAGTTTAGTTGAACAAGCATTCAATGAACATCTGGAAATGATTAAGAACCAGTTCCTGCCTCTGAAGGTTTTGCCTGGTGGGGTTGGGGGGATGGGGGGTTGGGATGGGGGTAGTAAGACACAGGTGCCTGAGAAAAAGCCTAAAAGCTCGTGTCATTGTTGAGCTCTACCCCTGCTCACACCTTTATGATGGGAGTTTTAGGCACTGATGATGCAGGGTGACTTTCTGTTTCCTGGAGGGCCCTTTTCAGTAATGACTGCTCATTTTAATAATTCCGCTGCTCTGATGAAGGAGTGAAGGTTTTTGCATAGAGGAAGTTCTCTCTGCTTATGTCTTGGGATCTTTTTCTAGGTTTTACACCCACTGAGAGATGCTTCCCAACAAAGTGTGAATTAGGAATTGCCAATGAAAGTGAAGAAATAAGAACCGATGGTCAATGGGTATTAAGTCACAGTAGGATAGGAGCAGGATGTTCTGGTGGCCACTRCACAGGAGGGTGACTATAGAAAACCAATGATGTAGTGTTTATTACCAAAAGGAGATCCACATGCCTCCAGGGTTCAACTGAATAATAACCAAGTGCTCGTGAGACGTAGCTGCTTATAACCAGCAGGGCAACTGTAAGGCTGCAGAAATCTTCTTAAAGGTTCTTGGTTTTCCTTTGTATTATAAGTGGTAAACAGCCATTATAAAAATCTTTTTTTTCTTTTTATTATTTGTTMTTTGTGGACATACAAGACTGTAGAGTGTATTTTGACATAATATACATACATGGAGTATAACTTATTGTAACGAGGATCCCATTCTTGTGGTTGTAAATGATTCGAGGTTTCACTGGTGGTGTATTTGTATATGAACATAGGATATTTATACCCAATTTATCCTACTGTCATTCCTATTCCCATCCCTTCTCCCTTCCCTTCATTCCTCTTTGTCTACTCCACTGAACTTCTATTCTTCCCTCTACCCCATCATTGTGTGTGAGCATCCACATATCAGAGAGAACATTTAGCCTTTGTTTTTTTGGTGATTGGCTTATTTCACTTAGCATGGTAATCTCCAGATCCATCCATTTACTGGCAAGAATCATAAAATCATTCTTTTCTATGTCTGAGTAATATTCCATTGTGTATATATACCACCTTTTCTTTATCCATTCATCTGTCGAATGTCATCTAGGTTGGTTTCATAGCTCAACTATGGTGAATTGGACTGTTTTAAACATTGATGTGGCTGCATCACTGTAGTATGCTGACTTTAAGTGCTTTGGGTATAGACCATGGAGTGGAATGACTGGGTAGAGACCATGGAGTGGGATAACTGGATCAAATGGTGGTTCCATTCCAAGTTTTCTGAGGAATCCACATACTGCTTTCCAGAGTGGTTGCACCAATTTGCAGTCCCACCAGTAATATATGAGTGTACCTTCCCCCMCACACACATCCTTGCCACCATTATGAAAGTCTTAAAAAASAAAACTAGAAAAGAAAAAGTCCCTGAGGACCCACTCTGAGGAGACAGCCATCTGAGAATGTGAAGTATTTTCTTCTAGTTTCATATCCTCTTTTTGGCTTTAAATTTTACACTTGATGATCAATGGTATCTTCATGTTCACAAATATTCTTCAATTAATGGGAGGATTCAGTGAGATGATTCATCTAAAGCAAATGTTCAACATGAATTAGCTGTTACTATAATAGTGATATCACAGTCTTGGGTCAAATCGCTTTCAGTTTTCAGTTTTCAATTGTGATAAAATACACACATAATTTGCCACCTAAATAATTTTTAAACCTACAATTCAGTGGCATTTGTTCTGTTTCTTGACAGATTTTCTTCTCAATAATCTATAAACTTTATGAAATGAATTTAATTGCTTTTTACCTTTTTCTATAAGGCAGTGTGTAGGTAGTATATGAGAAATATAGCTGTTGAATATTAGAAAAAAAATTATTTCCAAAGATCATCTAAGCCATTTAAAAATTTTATATTTCATTGTTTCTTCTTTGTATGTTTACCCTTTGTGTGGGGGGGGCGGATTTTTAAAATTAAAATGTATTTTTAAATGATACACAGAAACATGAAAATTTTACACATTTGTGGGGTAACTATGTGATGTTTTAACGTTGTGTAATGTTCAAACCAAGGTAAGCAGATCTATTACCTCAAATGCTTATCATTTCTTTGAGGTGAAAGCATAGAACATTCTTTCTTTTAATTTCATAACACATTCTTCTCACTATAGTCACCTACTGTACTTCAGCTACCAGAACTCTTGTTCCTAGTGGTAACTCAATGCCCATTGACCAAGCTTTTCCCATGTTCATATCTCTGGGCTTTTATGTGGTGATTCATAATTTACATTTTGATGATCTAGTTTTCATTATTTTAACATTTCCTCTGTATCCATTTCTGTGTAATTTCTTTTTCATTTATAACTTTCCTTGTGGGTAATTTTTAAAATTTTTTTCTTTATCTTTTTCAATAGCTGATGTCTATTTTATGTGGATAMGTGTGCTTTCTTTGAAAGAACCAGTTCTTAGGCTCATTATCTATTTTATATTTTCCCCTAAATTACTTAGGGGAAATTTTTCAGCACCTTTTCTAACATCATGAGTTGGAAGTTTTGTTATTTCATTATTTCCTTAGTAATATGAAAACAATGCTGTTTTAACTATCTTTGGTCAAATTCTTTGGTCTGGTAATATAATATTTATTTTGATTATTTTCTAAATCATCTGTCATATATTTAGGATAGCAACTTAAATAACTCTTTAGAATCATTTATTTAGAAGAGAATTACTTATTTAGAATAAACAACTTGTTATTTGGCTRTTACATACAGGAGTTATTTCTTTAGAAAGTGTTTTCAGTAATTACTTAGTAGGTTGAAATTCCACATTGTTGGTATTTTATTTGTAGTGCTATTAACTTTAAGTTTACTACATTGAGCTCCTTGAATATAAACTGTGTCAACTGTGTAATTTGTAATTTTAGAGTCAATTGAAACTTTTCATGGCCTAGTATGTGACAATTGTTTTGAAGTATTAAAGAATCTTATATTATCTCTCAAGAGTACTGTTTAAGAACTCATTTATTCTAGCTGGGGATTGGTTCAGTGGTAGAGCAATTGCCTGGCATGGGTGAGGTCCTGGATTCAATTCCCAGCACAGCAATAAATAAATAAATCTTTTAAAATACAAATAAATAAATAAGTAAAACTGTAAAAAAAAAGGAACTCTGTTCTTATTAATCATATCAATTATTTTACACTTTCATTTCTTTTCAAAGATTATTGTTATAACCTGTCCAATTTTTTTCTTGGATTTTTGTGTTTTTAACCGCATATTTTTTTGTATGATAAATTATAGAGGCAAGTTTTTCTCTATTTCTGACACATTTATGCTCTCCCTGGGATGAAGGACTTAAGAATAGTCCCTTTTCTGAACCTCTCTTGCCCCTTTTAATTTTTTCCTAATGCTCATCTATAAACTATGCAGAGAGCTCCGTGCAAGTACCCGTATCTTTTACTCACCAGTTACCTGGCCCTTATCTCCACCCACCCCACCAGTGTCACTTCTCAATGTGAACAACTTCCCATCAAAGGATGAATTTTATGGAGTATTTGAGAAAAAAAATTGCTTGCAAATTCTTATTGAGACCAAAATTCAGAGAGTTTTCTTGCTTTCCTTCACAGGCAATGTCTTTAAACACAGAGGAAGACATCCATAAGGGCTTCCAGATGCTTCTCACCCAAGTGAACAAGCCTAACTCAAAGTACTTGCTTAGAATAGCCAACAGGCTCTTTGGAGAGAAGACCTGTGATTTCCTCTCAGTAAGTTGAATCAGCAGAACAATAAAAGTTGTATTTAAAATACCTGGTGATATACGACCCAGAAGAGAGACCCCAGAGACCAGGCAGGATGGCACACTTGGGAGCGTAAGGCAGGAGGCTGGTGAGATTGAGAACAGCTTGACCTCCTAATAGGACCCTTGTCTTAAAAATAAAATGGAAAAAGATCTTGGAACATAGCTGCTTGATAGAGCATTTGCCTATTATGCTGAAGGCCCTGGGCTCAATCCCCAGGACTCCAAAAAAAAAAAAAAAAAAAAAGGAACAGAACCCTAGATAACTTGAGAAATATATGGCAAACTTTATTTTTTATAAAGTCCCAAATTCTATAATCATACCTTGTATTATTTCAAATTATGCCACATCTAAAATTTTATTGCATTTCATTATTCATCTGTGGTTATTCAGGGAATAGGACATACCTCCTTACAAACCTCAATATTTTATAAACTAGTAGCTTAAAATTTCATTAGATTTAAGAGATATTCCTGTTCCTTTTAATTAAAAAAATACATATATCTATAGCTAGCATTCAGAATGTTTTGAAGCTCACTGACATTTTTTATTTAGCAACATGGCCTCACTGAACACTTTTCTCTCCAAAGACATTTAAGGAGTCCTGTCTTCAGTTCTACCATTCGAAGCTGGAGCGGCTGTCCTTTGCCAGAGCTACAGAGAAGTCCAGGAAGCATATAAACACCTGGGTCTCAAAAGAGACAAAAGGTCAGAATTATGAGTCATTCCCCTCTCCTTCCACCCCAGCTCTGTCCTGTCCTCCCCTAGTTTCCCCCATCTCCTGACTGCTAATGTCACTGGTGTTGCAGGAGGTCAGAGCAAGGTTGCCTGGCTGAGCCTCATGGTGTGTGTGAACCTTAATGACTCACAGAAGACCTGATCAATGCTCAGGTTTTCAAAACCAGAGGATCAATGCTGTCTGTTCTCCTAGGATGAAAGTGACTGATAAAAGTGTCAAAAAAAAAAAAAAAAACCCTCATAGGCCAGACTTTACATTAGAACATACTGTCACTGTCCTGTAATGTTCMCATGGCAGCTGACTGTCCTCTCTGGGAGAAGATCAGTGGCCAGCTCTTCTCCAAGTCATGCCCTTGGCCCTCCTCTTCCTGGGGTCAGTTTGGACTGCATTCCTCCCACTTTTATGTGTGAAACTGACTTCTACTGCTTCTTTCCTATCTCTCACTTAAGTGCCCTTCATTAGACTGAGAAGCCTCGACTTGATTAGTCAACCACGGAGCCTCTCCCAGCCCAGATCAATTCCACACACTGAAAACACTCTCCGAGTGGAGTAAAAACTACACATTCTAACCTTGGTACTCAAGATCAATGATGGTTTGATGTTTGAACCATTCAGACACTTATGTACTACTAGGAACATCCCTATTTCTGCTAACAAATGAGATAGTAAAAAATAGAAGTAATTACTTCCACTATTTCTTTTTGGAATCTTTATGTCTTGTGCCCCTTTGAGGCAGCAAATTAGCAGGTAATACTCTTATTTCTTGAAAACATACACTTTGATATCCAGGATAAGAAGGAAGTACCTTCACCTACCCAAATCATTRTCTGTTCCAGGGATACCAGGAGGATGCAATCATAATATCTCTTCCAATTGTTTCCAGAAACTCCTCCTGTGCCCCTTGTGTGAAGCCGTCCATTCCGGCTGCCTCTGGAATGTTGACAGGTAGCTGTACAATGTTAGAACTGGGCCTGACCACAGGGCCTTAGACCTGACACTGCTCTTACCCACAGCAGGTAACATCAGCTCCTACCCAGCCCCTCTCTCCTTTCCTACTTGTCTTCTCCAACCTGTTGTCAAGTTTCTGCTTTGTCCCAACCTGCTTTCCCTCCAGTGACTTAGAAGTCTTTCACCATCTTCAACTTGGTGGCTCTTCTAGTGTCTGTCATAACTGAGATTTTTGACTTTTATACATATCATCCAAACTCAGCACATTTGAAAACAGAATATTTGGATCTCCAAGACATCGTTCTCATGCTTAATTCACCATGGATTCAGAAAAAGCAACTGACAGAGTTTGTGCTTGTTTTGAAAGGTAAAATTCCAGACTTGCTACCAATGAACTCTATTGATAAGCAGGCCAGGCTGGTTCTTGTCAATGCCATCTACTTCAAAGGAACATGGAATGAGCCATTTGTCAAATCATGCACGTGTGAAATGCCTTTTAAAATAAACCAGGTAAGGAAAAACTTTWAAAAAAAAATCGTGCTTGTCTGATGAAAAAATTCAATAGAAAAGGTTAACTTCATATGGTATAAGTGGTTAAAAATAATTTCAAACTTAACATCTATCTGAATGAATTTTTAATTTATTAGAAAAATTCATATGAATAAATAATTTCCTATCTATTATGATTTGCATCTTATTACCTTTAACTGCTTTTGATTAAGTCTCATGCATATATTGGTTTAACCTCATTCCGGAAACAAAGAATTTCTGTAGACACAAGTTACCTAGATGGAAAGCAGAACAATGTGATATATATATATATATATATATATATGTATATATATATATATATATATATATATATCTCACACATAAGGCAAGGTACAAAGAGGGAATATGATGTCTCATTTCTATAATCATGGTTTTGTTTTTGTGATATTCGCAGTGCTGTTGATCAACCCCAGGACTTGTGCATGTTAAGCAAACCCTGAATCACCATGCTACAACCCAGCCTTTTATTTATTTTTATTTTTAATTTTTTTGGTACCAGGGATTGAACTCAGGGACACTCGATCCTTGAGCCACATCCCCAACCCTATTTTGTGCTTTATTTAAAGACAGTGTCTCACTGAGTTACTTAGCACCTCACCATTGCTGAGGCTGGCTTTGAACTCATGATCCTCCTGCCTYCGCATCTTGAGCCTCTGGGATTACAGGCATGCACCACCATACCCAGCCATTCCAGCCTTTTAATCAATTATTTTAAAAATCAAAATAAACTTTCATTTGAATTGTTGTTAGTACTAACTTATCATTATTAATTCAGCATCTSTTGCTTTCAACTATTAAAAATGAGTGGCAAAGGCCTTTGTTGACTGTGAGATATAACTTCAATTAAAGTAGAACTGAGAGTAGTTTGCCAAATTCAATAATACCTTAAAATATAATTTAATGCAATGAGGAAACTTGTATGCATTAAGCCTTCCCCTTTATAAGGCATGTTTCAGATAACTATTTATGAATTTCTAGCAGCGCTGGACCACAGCAGGGTTGAATTTTCTTGTCTCTTTTTGTACTGTTTTAAATTTGTGCTCATCTGTTCATTCCTCTCAGGAGGAGGAAAGACCCGTGCAGATGATGTGTCAGGAAGCCTATTTTAACATCGGCTACGTGAATGAGGTGCAGACACAGGTGTTGGAACTGCCCTACGCCGGCAAGGAACTGAGCATGATCATTCTGCTCCCAGACGATGGTGTGGATCTCAGCTCGGTGAGTCAGGAGGGGCTGCAGTCCTTTGCACTCAGAATTTCTGTGGGAGGATTCCAGTTATATCCTGCGCGCCTTTTCACCAGATCTCCAATCCATCAGCTTAAAATGGCCTATCCCTCTTCTTGCTTCCTTGTGGTATGATCCATATATTGAGAAAGTCACCATCCTCTCAATGATACCCTAAGAAATCTCTGTGCGCAGAGTGGCCTCCATGGGCTCTCCCTCTCTCCAGCTCCCTAACTGTGATGAAGAACTAAGCCTCATTCAAACCAACAAATACCACTAGATRAGCACCATCCACTGGGCGTGGACACTTGTCAGAATGACACATCCACAGTGGATGGATAAGGAGGGGCAGCCACAGTCTTCCTGCAGGGAAGTCACATATGGGATAGCACGTGGGGGGTGGACAGGTCAGAGCCCTCACAAGCTTYCRGGCAGCTGAAGRAGCYGCCCATCCTGTGTGGRCAGTCAACATGGAATGTTCATGCAAATGTCTGTGTGGTCTGTAGATACGCACTGAAGTCTGAATGTGGACCTGTGATTCTGGTCTTTCAGGTGGAAAATAACCTGACTTTTGAGAAATTCATAGCCTGGACCGAGGCAGCCTCTTTGCAGAATACTGAAGTGGAAGTTCTCCTTCCGAGATTTAAACTGCAGGAGGATTATGAAATGAAGTCTGTGCTTCAGCGTTTGGGAATGGTCGATGCCTTTCAACGGGGCCAGGCTGACTTGTCTGCCATGTCAACTGAGACAGACCTGTGTCTGTCCAAGGTTGTGCACAAGAGTGTCATGGAGGTGAATGAAGAAGGCACTGAGGCTGTGGCAGCCACGGGCATAGTCATTGTGGCAGACTGCTCAGCATGTATACCAACGTTCCGTGCTGACCACCCCTTCCTTTTCTTCATCAGGCATAACCAAACCAACACTGTTCTGTTCTGTGGCAGGTTCTCATCTCCCTAAGAGTTGTACTTCCTCTGTGTGGAGAGTTGTTCTCTTTCCATGTCCCCAAGTTTCCTCTACAGTTTATAAGGATGGGCCTTTAGCTGAACAGGTCCTTCTGAACAACTTACCAGTGTGATCTCAGGATGCAGCACACTCAGCTGTCCCCATACTGCCCACTGGTTTGTACCACAGAACCAGGTCATGGCCAATAGGCTGTCCTGATTCCCTGTTGTATTAGGATGAGTGCAGTACAGATGCCATAGCATAGCTTGCAAACTTTCCCCTGATGGCCCCGAACAYATTTCCCAGTCATTCCACATGCAATGCAATTCCACCTGCCTTAGCCTGAATGCCACAGTAGTAATAAATGCTGGTCTACTATTACTACTATTCTAGTTTAAACAAAAAAACTTTAATGCACATTTTAATTTTATCTTTCTTTGGCTTTCACCATTCACCTGGTATATGCTAAGCACTGAATTAGACACTGGGGATACAAGGGGATAGAGTCATGGTCCTTTGACCCCTGCTTTTTTTATGTGGGTTCCCAATTCATATAGTGTTTATGACAACCAGATTGGATGGTTGTATAACTTTGAACTACTCTGTGATCTTCTTGCAGCCAGGACACCTTGCCTCATGGTATTGTATTGCTCTACCTCCTACCCCAATAGTCAAATGACATTCAGCCCTTAAAGTTAAAACAGTTCAAATGTCACCTTCTTCAAGACATTTTCCTATTCTCCATAATCAGGTATACATCTTTGAACTTTCACAATAACTGCCCATGGTAGTTGCATTATTTATTTATTAATTGTCTGTCTTCTTAGTTATGACTAGCCTTAAACTCGCCAAGGCTTATGATTATGTCCTGCATGTGTTCATGCTACTTATAGTGCAATAATAAATAATTTGAGCATATAAGACCTCTGTAATGTGTATTTTTTAAGTGGCTGAATAGCAACAACTCTATTATTCCTTTTAGATATTTTTATCCCAATGACACTTGCATTTACACAGTCCAATGCCATCAAAATACGTTGTGCAAAAGTATTGTGCAAACATGAGTTTTACTGTCACCCCAATTTTCATTGCCTCAAAGAAAAACCCATATCCACTAAACAGTAAATCTTTATCCTTACCTTCCTCCAGCCACTGACAACCATGAATCTGCTTTTTGTGTCCATGGATTTACCTGTTCTGCATATTTCATGTAAATTGAATCATRAAATATATTACCTTTTGTGTCTGGCTTCTTCATTTAGTGTGATATGTTCTAGGTTGAGTCATTTTGTAGCATGTATCTGTATTTTAATCCTTTTTATGACTGAATAATATTCCAGTACCTGAATATGACACAATTGTTTTATTCACTCATCCAGTGGTGGGAATTTGGATTTTTGCCCCCTTGTGGTTGTTTTAATAGTGCTGCTATGAAAGTGCATGTATGTGAATTTGCTTGAATACCTATATACACTGTTTTGTGCATATACAGATTTAGGAATGAAATTGTTGGTCATAAGGTAATTCTATTTAACATTTTTTGTGGGGGGCACTGGGGATTGAACTCAGGGGCACTCAAACAATGAACCACATCCTCAGCCCTATTTTGTATTTTATTTAGAGACAGGGTCTCACGGAGTTGCTTAGAGCTTCCATTTGCTGAGGCTGGCTTTGAACTCTCAGTCCTCCTGCCTCAGCTTCCTGAGCTGGTGGGATTACAGGCACGGTTTAACTTTTTGAAGAACCACCAACCATGTAACATTCCTACCAGCAATGTATGAGATTCCAATTTCTCTGCATATCTTTATTTCAAAATCATGAACACACTAATGGTGATTCTTTTCATGGTGTTGGATACTCTGCCTCATCCCTGGTCCAGAGCCCTGGAGCTGGCCAACCATGGAYGGAGACTCTGCAACTGTGAGCCTAAAGGAAATCTCCTTCTCCTGGTCATTCTGGTCAGATATTTGGCCACAAGCAATGAAGAACTAACACAAATGTCACAGGTGATTGCAAAAAAGCCTAGGATAAGTGGTCCAGCTACATTCCTGCTCAGGGATGGGGTTGGGGGGACCCCCCCCCCTCTGGTGAGCAGAATCAACAGTTTTCCATTGCTTTTAGGATAAAGATTAAGCTCCTTTTGAAAAGCTAACTAGGTAGTTCCTGATTTAACCTTTTCTCCTATCCCCCTTTGCCATTTCTCAATGTCAATCCTTCACTCCAGCCTTATAGAATTTTTTGCAGTTTCCAACTATTCCACGCTCTGCCTTCACTCTGGGGCTGTACAGTTGTGACCAATGATAGTTAGCTTCCCATTACTGTGACAAAGTACTTGTGATAATGAACATGAAAGGATGGATCCTTTATCGTGGGTCACAGTTTCAGAGGTTTCAGGCTTGGTTGGCYTCTTTGGTTGCTCTTGGGCCTGTGTCAGGACAGTTCATCATGGTGGCAGTAAGKGATGGAGCAAAGATGCTCACTCACTGTGGCCTGGAAAGCAAAGGAGGAGGTGGCTGGTGTCCTGAATATTCCCTTCCAAGACACACCACCCATGGCTTAACTTCCTCCACTAGGCCCCACCTCCAAAGGTTCCCCCATCTCTCAGGAGCCCCTCAGGCTGGTGAATCCACCTTCAACCCATGGAACTTGGTGGACATCCCAAATTCATACTCCAGCATCATCTTCTCCCTAGAAACCCCTCCTCCCTGCCCACAACCTATCACTGGCAAAACTTCACTAGTGTTTGCCAGGGTTAAAGACTCCTAAGAGCCCAGTGCAAAATGCAAATGAAAGGTCTCTTGTTCAGATTTCAGGATGTGGAAGGCAGAGTGTCAAATCAAGGGGACCACACAGGTTGCAGGCTCCTGAAGCAAGCTTCCCCTAGAAATTTATATGAGTGTGGGGCAGGAGGGTTCTGARACTGCCTCCTCTGTTAGCAAGCCAGTGGCCTGTAATATAGTTTTAAGAACAATGGGGCTGGGGATGTGGCTCAAGGGGTATCGCTCTCACCTGGCATGTGTGTGGCCTGGGTTCGATCCTCAGCACCACATACAAAGATGTTGTGTCCGCCGAAAACTAAAAAATAAATATTAAAAAATTCTCTCTCTCTCTCTCTCTCTCTCTCTCTCTCTCTCTAAACAAAAATAAAAGAAGAAGAAATACATATAAAGTATTAATCTGAAAGAAATTATAAATAAATAGAAGGAAGACCAGTAGAGGAAGGGGAACAGGAGAAGAGAGGAGGGAA